AAAGAGGGAAACACTATCTGTCTATTGGTCGGCTGTCAGTGGTGTTTGTCTATTGGTAGACTGTCGGTGGTGTCTGTCTACTGTATGACTGTCAGTGTCTGTAATGCTGTTTTGGGTAACTGAAATATATTTTTAATTCTAATCATTACTTAAAACTTACAAAAGAAAAGGCTTTGCAAACTAATAATCTCCTCCCTCTACCTGCTGTTATCCGTAGCCCGTAGTTCTCAACAAACTCCGGCCCCTGCTTCCCTCATTTATGTGTAATGAATCCTCCCACCAATTCACCTGCCGTTTTGAATAGCTTACCGTAATCGTTACTTGATGTGTTGCACCATCTGAGTAATGATTCACTCCCGCCATGGTTCGTTTTGATATGCATGACAACTTACACAAATGACAAGTCTTATACAGTATGGGTGGAGGCGAGTTGAGGACACCGAGACCGCGACCTGCACACTCTGCTGGAAACAAACTAATCATTTGAGCAAAATTTTATGATTGAAGTTAATAGCGCTCAAGTTGATCCAGACGGAAACATCTTCAAACTCACAAAGTTTGAACCACCGCGGGGAAGTGGAGGACACCCAGACTCATGTTGACAGAACTGTTTTTTAATAAGTTGGCTTATGATTCTGTATTAAATTCTTAACTGTGAGGATGTGTCATATATTGTTGAGGTTAGTCAGTCTTTTATTATACACATATAAAGCAAAAACATGTACTGTATTCATAAGTCCTTCTGTGTTAATATTTACATTAGTTTTTATAATTGTAATTAGTGGTAATATTCATTATGGCACCAAATAACATGAATGCAAATAGTATCCTTAAAACGGTAAAGCTATGTATAATGTTTTAAACTTAACGATCAAGAGAGTTGGACGCCTCCAAAATGCTAAAATGGTGATAAATTCTTCAGCTATATATAATTTTTTGTTGTGAAATTAACATTGGTATGATGTATAACGTGAAATATCAACCTATAATGTATAATATTCAAGAAAATATAATACTATAACCTTAACTGATTTTTGCCAAGGCACCAGCTAAAGGTACACATTACAGTTGGCAGAATAAAACGAGGCTTATTATTGTGTCGTATCCACTCGGCTATCAATACAACAGTTTAATGGGACAAACTTTCAGCGTGTCAATTGCAGGTACAACTAGAAAACAATCCTGTATGTTGCTTTGGTTTGCTCGTCTCAAAGGAGTAATAAAACTTATGAAGTGACAATTTATTTATTATCACGTCTCCCAACTTCTACCACATAGGTTTTAAATATATGAGTGACAGAACATTTTTATTTACATACGATCTGTACACATAAAAATTAATTAGAAAACTCATTTACACACTGTAAATGTTTTGTCACTGGTTGTTTCAAAATATGTACCAGTATTCTTAAGCAATACCAGCAGGTACTGGAATGAGCTCATGCCATATACCACAAAATTAATAATATTCTCATGATATTACACAGAGCAGCTAAAGCAAAGTCATAGCTTGTAGATTCTACGGTCTTGTTAGAATCTTGACAAGTCTTGAGTAATTGCCTGCAAAAGAGCATCCTAACTTTTAAACTAGTGTTGAGTAATTTATGCAGCCTTAGGAGCTAGTGCCTTAAGATCAGCAAAGCACTGCTTAAGGGCAACAGACTCCTGAGCAGGTGTGATGGATGATTTTACGTTGTTTACAATCCAGTCCACCATGTGCTTCTGTTGCATGAGTCTTGACATTGGCAGTTTCAAGTTGGTAGTCCAGCCTCTTCTTCACCTAGAAAAGTTACAGGGATATAGGTTACAAAAAGTCCAGCAAAGAAGTATCTTTTCTCAAAGGAACCATAACATTTGCAATTTCCTGGTCAACCCAGTGAGGTCCTAAAATATGACTGTCCACTTGAATACAATACCATCAAAAGTTTTAACTAGAATAATATTCCTACCAAGTAAACCAAGATAAAATCCTGTATTCAACTATTACCAAAACCCTTCTGAAAACTAACAGGTGATATATGACTTTTTTGTAAACTACAGTATTAATCTGGGAAACACAAATGGAAAAATGGTGATTATTGGAGTGATATCTCCGATAGCCGGAACAATTGGTGTAGAGCACTTCTGAGAGCAAGAGATTTCCGGGTAATGAGACGACTCTCTCAAATTGGAAAAAATCCCTCATCCCAGAAATTTCTGCAAAAATTTTCTCTTTAGTTCCAGAAATTGCCCATTACATCATCTTTCAAACCGGAAAATAACCCCCACCCCCAGAATTTTCCGGAAAATGCGCCTGATTTTCGTCTCTCAAACCAGAGAGAAAAAATAAAATATAAATAAATAAATGTGCCCTCAGAAATTCACCAAAGCCAAAATCTGGCTTTGGAAATTTTTTTTTTAGAAAATTTCAATTCAGGTTTGAGGGATTCTGGCTAATGGAGATATTACTACTTTAAGGAGATCCATACAAAATTTCATCTACAAAGAATTCTATTTATGGAATATTCACATTATACAAGAGACTGGGTGGGGACAGCATCTCCAAAAAGGTTAAGAGCCACTGTTCTCAACAACAGTTCAGGGGCACCAAAGACAGGTGAATGACATATGCCATCATAAAAATCATTTTCCTATGCAGTAGTCTGGGAATCCATTAATAAAATATGCCCTTACCTCAGCATGGACCATTGCAAGTCTTTCTGGAGCCTCAAGTTGCAGAGACACATTTTCACGTTTTGCGTCAAAGAGCATTGCCTCGCCCTTAGCTGACAATTGCCCTCTTCAACATTATCAGTAATACTGCCATCACGGTACGTCACCCAGCTGCCTTCGATCTCCTGAATAAAGCAAATAACACAAATTATAATTTTCTCTTAGTTTTTGCAAACTTTTCTCCCCACACTACTAGTGGTTGGAATAAATAAAAAATATACCATTTCCCCTCTTTGACCTAGTTTCTATTTGAGAACAAAGATAGAGGTTGGAATATTATGTTTGAATGATTTTGGTGGAAATTTTTCAGGGAAGGACTTTTCAAAACTTCAAGAGAAATGTCATCAACTGTTAAATGATAATGCTGCAAGTAAATATTTTCAGCAATATTATAAACAAGGTATAGAAAATGGAGAGGTAAGTGGTAGTGAAGCTCATGAAAGAGGAAACACAGTTAAAAAGAGAATTTCCAAGGTCAAACCTTTGATTTTAAATAATTGAATATAGAAGCCTTGGCTTGAAATGTGAACCGTATTCACTTGACGAGTGCTTAAATTTGTATCCACTTCCGAATATTTAATAACAATTAGAATGGGTTGGCAATAGGAAGGGAATCCAGCCATAAAACTTACCCAATGGCAGATGAGACATAATGCCATCAGGTAATTCTAGCCAAACTTAAAAATCATGGAACATAAAAGTGGTGATGATGTCTCCAGGAATAACCATAATTTAATCATGAATGTGTAGGAGTACCTACTATATTTTAATTTCTTCCAAAATGAGTTATGAACAAGTCATCCAAGTGAAAGATCAAAGGCAACTACTTTCATTAATTAGGACCATTAAGTGAAGACATGATAACCAAGTAGCAAACTATCTCTCGGCTCATTCCACTATAAATGGTCATACAGTATGGCCTCATTTAAAAGCTAGGAAAGGACAGTCTTCACATTAAACAGAAATAATCAGCTTGTCAACTAGTTTTCCGGTGGTAAATTATTTCTGGTTACATAATTTGAAAAGCTTGTGGTGATAGATACATTTGTTCATTTTCCTAATTATGTGTAAGGGAACTGTGATGAAACAGGAAAATATAGTACACTTTGTACCAAGTTATGAGATGATTCACAAAAATGGTTATTTGGTCAACTGAACACACTTTGTGAAGCTTTGAAGAAAAAATTATCAGGCCAGTCAAATTACGCAAAAAAAAAACAACAATAAAACAAAACAAGGCATTTTCTTCCCTGGTTTGGGTTTTTTCTTCACAAGTATGTACTGCAGTTTTGCTTCCACACACACACAGATAATGGCTGAATGTTTATTTTACTTCTTAACAATAAAAAAAAGAAAACTTAATATAGTCTATTTAGAAGTTGAAATCATAAAATGCGATTTAAATGGGTTTGTTTATATTTAAGAAGCTTCTATTTGAGCCGTGACAAGCACCAGTAGTAGTGGATTCTCACATGATCTAATTGATAACAGCTGCATCAGGTCAGTTACCTCAAATATTTGGTTGATTTTGAAATACAGTATTCATTTCAAGAGCTTTATGAAAAAATAATGCTTTGCATGTATTTATATAAATGAATATAATAAAAGATAATCAGGTACTGGGTTAGATATTTAGCCAGGCAATAATTACAGTAAGATCTTGTATTTCATGAGTAATATAGACTGAAAAATTGTGCCAAATTCAAATTCAACAAATGCAAATACATAAACTAATGGGAAAAATAACAATACACTGTAGACTGGCCACTCTACACCAACCTCTGCTTTTCTTTTCTTAGAACATTACAAAATTCTTTAACTGACTTGTGTTTTCAAACTAGCTTTTAGGCCTTCATTTTAATTCAGCTGCTTATCAACTCAGAGTACTTGGCAAACTTAACTCCTTATGATAGTCCACTTAGGTGGGTCTGTCCACAGCACCAGCACCAGTAGGACCCCAGTAAAGGTAGAGGCCAGTATCTTGAGCTGGGGTAGCACCACAAAGAACACAATAACAGCCCGGCAGTCTCTGGAGTAATTGACAGAAACTGCGTTTCAACTGATCAATCGTGACAAACTGGTCCTCCACAAAGCATTCTTCTTATTCTTTTGTACAGTATTTATGGATAATGGCTAAAAAAATCACAAAACAAAAGAAAAGACGAATCAATTGACCACGTGATGTCGACGTGAACTGTCATTGTACCCAGCACCACACCATCATGAGGATGGAACAATATACAATATGCAAAGTTAGCGTTTTAAACAGTGTTCCCTATTGCTCAATCGCGTTACAAAAACTGCGTTGTAGCAGAAATGACTAAACTGATATTCAAGACCCGTGTTCAGCTTGCTGGATCCATAAATTGATATTTGCCAAATATAAGACTTGGTTACATGTTGAAATAGGAGATCTTACTGTATTTATCACTATACTTCAGACAAATGTTCTGACTCGCAAGAAGCTTCTGAAACAAACAAATCCATTTAACTCACTTTAGGGAATTCTCTAAAACTGAACTAGATCTACCACTACATAAAAAGAATGACATACATCAATTTCTTTGTCCAGGGATTGTGCTAGAGGTGGGCCAAATTTCTTGACAGCGTAAACCACCATAATAAATATGGAGAGTCCGTTATAGTGCTGTTCCATAACTATATATTTCGCCAAACGTTGTCAATCCAACACCAAGCATGTATGGACCTGTTGAAGTTCAGAAAAATTAAAATACAATTCATTTGAAAGTAGGAATGAGTTACTGTTGAATGTAACCGAGGATTGTGGAAATAATCACATTTACTAAACAGCATATAGATGATGAAGAGGTAGGGGAGGTTTAAGTACAAGAAAATACTTAAAATGTATCATAGTGCAACAGAGGGAATTTAGAATCATGAATACTGTCATCATTATTGTACACAGGTAGTGGTCTGCCTATTTCCAAGCACTATAGCACGTTTTCCCAGCTGAGAAAAGATGCCCAGCCCCCTCCTCAAAATTTACAGCTGAATGGCCGTTGCAAACCTGTCCGATTTTGTCCTGAAGTAATGATGTATTTTAATGATTTTCTCATAATCGTTGGGAATGAGCTTGACAAGAAAGATATTTAGCTAAAATTTTATAAAGATACATACATTATAATATCAAACATAAGCATGTAGGAAGTTTATCAAGTATTATACATGAATTAACTGTTAAACTCAGGTAGCAAATTCACGCTGGAGGATGCAATTAATATATACATTGCTTATTTTTACCCACAATAAGGCATACTAAGACAAATTACGATCAGTAATACTACATTATGAAAAACAACATTTTAAAGATCAGAATCACATTAAAATTATTCGACCCATCCAGAGAAATATGAATAAACTCGTTTAGAAATACATCATTACTTCAGGACTGGACAGGTTTGCAACAGCCAATCAGCTGTAACTCTGGTCTTATCTTACACAATCACCACATATTTGGGAGGTTTACATAGACCAAATACTACAACAAAATAATGACCCCCAAAAAATTTCCAACAAATCTAAAAAACAACTTACCAGTTACACCTGTCTTGGGATAGAGGAACTGGAACCACTCCTCTGGGATGAAGCCCTGCACCTTGCCAGGCTCAACGGGCCTAACAGGACGTGGGAAGTTGACCTCATCCCGCTCTTCAGCTGCTCTGCTGACGGCCGTGGTGCTAGTTGGACGAATTGCCACAAGGGCAGGTCGCACCTCTTGCACTTTAGAATAAAAAGTAAATATGATGTTACATTATTTTCATATACACTGTATGTATATATATATACACACACACACAGTATATACAGTAAGGGATAAGCAATATATAGGCAGACAAAACAAGAAATATCAGTCAACATTGTTTTATCTTTCCACGAGAGTTAGCTACAATTACCTGATGGTTGCAACTCCTTGAGGTACTGAAATCAAACACTACCTGCAAACACCTGAATTACAGGTTACGGTCATCTTGTACCTAAGACAACTCATACCTAAGATAACTCGTACTCAACTCAAGATATTTAAATGACTCGTTTTTTTAAATATTAATTCACTTATACCAATACGTTGTGGGTTATGCCTTTGGTTTCTTTCCATGATCATTGTTTTGGTCTTATCCACATTTATCTCAAGTGTCCTAAGTGTAAGAAAGAATGTAAGTAATCTTCAAGACCAGCATCAGCTACCTGTAATGATCTCAGAATCTGATGACGAACCAGAACCAGGCCAATAAGGTAAGAAATAAGTGATTCCATCATATGGTGAGTTGAGTTGGGTCATCAAAAAAATAGGTTAGGTTTATATGTTTTTCGGTGCAATATCCAACGGAAATGGAGGTCAAAACCAATCATACCACACAAAAATACACTATAAAATCAGTTTTGACTTTCTAACAGTTGTGTAAACCACTGCAATTTTACCATATTTACTATAACCTGACCCAACCAAAAACTAACCCCTAACTACTGGGTGGTTCCGCTCCCCAGATCCCGGGCCATATTAAATAGAAAGTAATTATTTTGATATCTGGTATTATTATGCTGACAATTGATAGCCTTTTTAAAGTCAACTACCTTAATTTTCTTTACAAATCATGAGATATTTATAAATACTCCCCGGTTTAGTAGATGAATAACCAGTCACCGGCCAGATACATCGTCTGCATAACATCCCAACCCTATTAATGGTAAATTATTATATGTACATCATCTTTAACAGAGCTGTCATGGTTTCTTTAATTATAGTGATATTGTAAAAATAGTTTAAATACTCACGAGAACGAGTTACAAGTCTTGATAGCATTGTTCAGTCCCCGGCAGTGTCTAGTGGCAAGATGGTGGAGGTGTGGTCAAATGAACAACAAATAGTATTATTACATAAGATGATTCATATTAATTTATAATATAATATTTATTTGTTATAATATCATACTCTAAATAATTTACAAAATATTTTAATTCATTTAGGTAATTGTTATATTAAAAGTTACTAAAGGTACACAGCTGATTCAAAATATGAGATGCATAGTAAATATAAATGTGATATAAATATTTTATTCTATATAAGATACATTATGGATAATTTATTCAAACTGAAAAAGGAAAAGTATTTATTGATAAAATGATTTGTGTGTGATATTAGAGGTCAGCTGTTGTCCACCAGAATAACTGATCACTATTGTTACTTCACCTTGTCATTATATAGGTAATATCTGTATTTTATAACAACGGCACCAGCGCTCTAAGTGATTTTACGGTATTGTTTTTGGAACATTAGTTGTGTATCGGTGTTGGGATCTCACGAGCAAAAGGTGAGACCTGACACATTATTCATGTCGGTGTTGCTCGTACATAAAGAGTGATGGTCCTGTTGGAGTAAAAGTAATAATAGATAGTATGTTGATGCAGTCAATGATATCAAGTAAGACTCATTCTTAAAGGCCTAATTCCAGGGTTTTTTTTATGAGGGATTATGTTAGGGGTTAAGATTCGAGGGTGCTGGACAACTTCAGCAAATCACACTCAACATGCCTTGCAACCATTTACAAGACAGTTCGTACCTATATATATATATATATATATATATATATATATATATATATATATATATATATATATATATATATTCTCGTAATTGGGTATGAGTTGTCCCTTTATAAATTACTGTATGGGAAGTCTTCCCAGTACAATACTGTATATGAAATTTGGGTATCTGAAAGTTTTTTTAGGAATGCATCCCCATCACAAATAGTGGAATAGATGTAGTAAAGTGCAATATTCTCTTTTGTTCTTATATATTTTTGATTATTCAATTTTCACAGATTGCAGGATGGGAATATTCTTATCATGCTGTGGTGGTGGTGGTAGTGGGGACTCCTCAAACTACAACAATATACATGAACCTCCTGAACCAGCTGATCCTGTAAGTCTGATATTCACTTGATGTTTGTGGGTCTGCCTGTAAACATAAATCATGACAACACAATGTCTTTTATTTTAAAGTAAGTTTTGATGATATAAGGGGAATGTTTTTCTTTGTATATGAATGGTTAGTAACCTTATGCCTGTCATGTATAACCAGAACGTTGAGTATATCACACACTGTAATATGTTTTTAATGGTCAGGATGAGAAATTAAACTTGTTTTACTACAGTACTTGTTCATGACTTTGCCAAATTATTGATAATTAACCACAGTTGCACTAGAAATACACTCCAACTACCTGAGGGTCTCCACTAATTGTGCCCTACAGTGTGATTTGAACCTTCCTCAGGCCTCTCATGTGACTAATCCATCAAGTTTCATTACTTTACCGTGCAGCTGAGGTGTCTGATGTGCATTTACCACATGGCTTTGACCAGTCATTACCAGCACCTCTGCATATTACAGACTAAGCTCATCCTTGATAGGTTGCAGGCATTATATGTAAAACAATCGTATAAAAGTTTGTTCCTATTTGTTAGCATCAGTATAGTGCATAGCGAGGACCCCCTGCTATAGTACTTCCCTATCTCAATAGCTTACTCATCTAATCTGTATGTACTGTATTGCCCTGTATGTTACAGGAAGCCTCGAAAGACAGATACGAAGCAAGGCTGAAGCAATAAAAGGGTGGTGTGAAGGACCCAGAGGGAGTAAAGTTCAACAAAAACGTAAGGAAGAGTTGGAGCTCCGACAAGAAGCTGAAGGAAAGCCAGATGGAGGACTTAGGGTTTGTAGTGAAATCTGTTATTTAATAAAAAACACGGTGAATAAGAAATGGTCATCAGCTGCAGTACTGAGTGGGGATGCGGTTTAGCAAGCAGCCCAACTGGAGAAAAGAGATCTGGTGGAGTTTTTAATCCATCATATATTGCAGTTGACTTTTGTACATATCTTCTATTGACTACTAATTAAATGTCTCTGTTTTCAGTGGCAAGTGAACTAGATTCAAGAATCTTGATAGTCTGTACATCATCTGAAGATCTGCCGGGCATGTCTGACCATTTCATTGGAAACCTATCATACACCAAGACACCCTTCATCATTATGAACTTCACCGGACACCTCTAGGTATGAACTTCACCGGACACCCATCATCCTAGGTATGAACTTCACCGGACACCCATCATCCTAGGTATGAACTTCACCGGACACCCATCATCCTAGGTATGAACTACGGACACCCATCATCCTAGGTATGAACTTCACCGGACACCCATCATCCTAGGTATGAACTACGGACACCCATCATCCTAGGTATGAACTTCACGGACACCGTATGAACTTCAGGACACCCATCATCCTAGGTATGAAACTGCACCCATCATACCTAGGTATGAACTTCACGGACACCCATCATCCTAGGTATGAACTTCACCGGACACCCATCATCCTAGGTATGAACTTCACCGGACACCCATCATCCTAGGTATGAACTTCACCGGACACCCATCATCCTTCTTTTGAAACTATTTTGTCACCAGACACTCATGAAAAAGTTCGTGTGTGTGTTTCTGTATTGTGAATGACTCGCTTCTTATGGCTCCTGGTCAACTCTCAGCCATTCAAGCGCTTAACAGAATTAAATTTGTTGATGTGAACATTTTTTATCAAAACTATCATCTATGTACAGTATATGTCTTCTGACTTTTTTGTGTGTACAGTATTTTACTTGATCATGAAACCAACTCAGAAGGCAAAATACAATAAGTATGTAGTTAATTTTGCTCTGCAATGATGAACACATTACAAGTACTATATTATATTTACTGCAAGTTTTATAGAACATGTATAAATTTTCCTTATAAAGACAGGATATATTGTACAGTATTATCATATTGAAATTGGAATAGTTTTTACATTATTTTGAGTTGAATCAGCAAATGAAGACATCTCACTGGTGATTATAATCTCCAGTTATGTTATGACTGGAGTGGAAAAGAGGGGGAAGGTTGTTAGGACTAACAACCCTGAAATGGATGGAAAACGTGAACCAGAGCCATTTATTTGTGAGGCACACACCACCAACATAAGGGAATATACTGTCTAGTTATCATACAGAACGATCATAAGGAAATACATCATCATACAGAGGGTAGTAGACCTATGGAATGGTCTACCAGCCCAAGCTGTGGAGTCAAGTGCAGTACTGGCATCAAAATAGCCTTTGACAAAATTATAAAAAACAGTGGAGGAACCTACACAGGTCACTTGGCCTCCTTCTCTCATCATGGCCACCTCTAGTGGGTGGCCATTAAATAATTAAGGCAAATAAGTTGAACATATACATTCCTTTATGTCATGAAAATAGTGATATTATTTTTTAATTGACTTTAGAGTATTAGACAATAATTATTGTGGTAACAGCAATTCTGCCTGTGCAGTTGATTCATATTACAGTATACAGCTCTCCCCGACTTATGCGGGTTAGGGACCCAAATCCAGGTAAATGTAAGTCAAAATGGTGCATGAAGTCGAAAAATAAATAATACATAGAAAATCTAAAATGGGTGTCTCTTTTTCTTCTCAGCACCACAAAACTCTCACTTTTAAGCTTACTAGCCATTTTAAAGTGAATTACAAACGAAAATTTTGTCAGTACACAGCACAATCACTGAGGTTGGGACTCAATCGTAATTTGACAAAATTTTGGTACGACTGAGGCGGTTGTGGTCGAGCAGGTTGTAAGTTGGGGAGGAGCTGTAGTACAGGTATATCTTTTAGTCATTGTCAAGTATACAGTACTGACAATTAGACAAGAACAACTATTGACTTCCTAACAGTATGGCAGTAGTAAGTTTAATAGTTCAGTCAATAAAAATTACAAGTAGAATTTCATACAAGCCACAATATATTTATTATGAAAAGTGCAGTAATAAAAAGAAGGCATTTTGCAAGATGAAATTTCACATATGTTGAAGTGGCATTCACTTGCTGTTGAGAAGAGCATGTGTATCTTTTAATGTGTTCATTTTAGCTTTAGTAATAATACAGCAACTACAATAACTTTATTTTCATTACTTAAATTGATACAGGTATTCCTCTACATAGGGATGAGTTATGCCCCCAAAAAAAAATTGTGAACCTTTATCATTTAAAAAATATGGTTCTAAGCAAAAATACCAATATCTACCCCCAAAACACAAAATCGGTTCACAAACAAGAACAAAGTCTACCTGACTAATGGAATAGTACACAACTACTCCAATTTACTATCTAACACGAGAAAAAAAATAATACTGTTTAACTTTTGTACATGATCTTATGGGAAGGCAGTTTGGGTTCACCACCACAAGGGGGTGAGGTGGGGTGGGGTGAGTAAGAGCCTTACTAAACAAGATAAAGAGGGTTCTCCACCACACAACGAATGGAAGGACGCGAGCTTGTGGGGGGGGGTTATCATCAGTGAGCGAGAATACCTCTGTGCGCATCTCTCCCCAAGATGGCTGTGCCAGCTGACTCCCAGTCTTGCAGAATTGTAATTTTTGCCTGGTCCCAAATTCGTATTAGCGAGGGAAGCTTTCGTTTCTCGAAATAGTGGTGTTCAGTTTAGGAAATTCGCATATCATGAACATTCATGTCTTGTTTAATTTTTTTATTAGCAGTAATATAACAGACTTATGATTTTGTGTAGTTATTCACACAAATGTGTTACATTTTATACTTAATTTTTAGTTATCAGTTATGTTGATGTACGGTACTTTTGTTCAACTAACCCTCAGCCAAAATGATCTTGAAATGTACAGTAAGAAATTGAAATTTGGGAATACCCTCACATGTATTAGGATATGTCAGTACTTAATGTGTTGTGTGACCAAGGATGTACCCAGCAGTATTGTCAGTTTTCTTTTTCTCGTATGAATTTTCCCTTTATATTCACCATGTTTTTAAATAAGTTTCTCATCCAGTATGTTATCCACTTAGACCATGTAGTTCTTCACAACATAACACTTGAGCCTTCCCAAAACCTCCTGAGTTGGCTTCTTGCCTATGGTATGTACCCTCTCCCTCCCCCCACAGCAGTATGATGTCTGACTCCTATGCTGTATGAAATTTCATGTCCTCTGCATCTTGTGATGTATAGAAGAATGCTTCATAACTACCTGTACCACTCTTTGTTCCACTGCCTTATTGCTTTTCATATTTGGGTTTGTGTTGGCTGTTGTGATGACAGGGGTTTTACATGCAGGTAAATATTTTCAATGTACAGTAGTTTTATATACACTGAATGCTTTACATGTTTTTGTATAGGTTTCTGCCAAGTATTTCATACCCAGACCTAAACTTGGAAGGTCTGTTGGAGAGTCACATCTAAAATTTGTTTCAATCTCTTGATCAATCAACTGAATTACTAATCTGTGATCCGCTAATACTGTAATCAGTCATCTAAATCTTTAATAATTATTTATAGTGTCTTTGTATTTGCACCTTTTTTAATTTTGTAAGGTCAGATCCCATAAAATATATCTTGTGACAATAATGAGGACATAATTTATTTACCTTTTTTTTCTGAGCAGGTCACAATTTGGTTGTGTATGGAACAGCTAACTTGAGCAGGTGGTTAGGACTTCAACTGAGTTGACCTTTGTGATACAACTGGTAAAACACTGGGTCAACTACTGAATGTATGCTAGAGAACCTTAATATAAGTCGTAGCACAACCAGCCCATTTGTTTATAATAACTAGTGTCAAGCAAAAGGTAAAGGTGTGGACATACAGTAGGAGTGGAAGCTTCACTTAAACTAAACATTACAAAAAAGTAATTATGAGTACATAACATGGAGTTACATAATGTTAAGGTACTCTAATTATAGAGGTTCTCAAACACCATATGCTAAATCTGTTGGAGATGGTAATGGGTGATGAAGTAAAATTATTCAGAAACAACTTTGAGTAGAAGAATGAGTGATACAGACAGTTCTCACTACAGTATAAATATTTTTGCATATACAGAATTAATAAAATAGTGAGAACTTTTCACTATGTGATAAACATATTTTCCTAGTGTGCAAATGTCAAACACACCCTAGTTACTCTGCTACAACATCTGCCATTCTAACAAATAGGGTTCATTTTTGTCAAACCAGTATGTCAGGTCAGGGACCTAGTGTGCATGAGTGACTGCTTTTGTTAATATTTCACCTGTGCCTTGTTATATGATGTAAACCCTTAAGTTCTGAAGGGTTCCGTTCCTGAGGACGTTCTTTTGTCAGATTTGTACGTAATTTTGAACACATGCTATGTGCGGACTGTACTTACGGGACAATGTTTACAATCCCACTATATAATAGCCTAAGTCCCTATATACATTTAAAATCACTTAATTTAAGAGAAAAGAAGAAAGAGAATGACAAAATACAGTAAATGACAGTAAAAATTAAATCATCGGGTAACTAAAATACTGTACTACAAATTTCAAGTGTAACCCCGTTCATAAGTCGGGGACCCCTGAAGTAATGCAAGGACAACTCAAAATTAATTAGTACATTAACAAAATTTTATTGATAAAAAATATTACAGCCACGCACTACCAGTAAGATTATCAATCTGTAATCAGTTAATCAAACATTTTCATATACGTAACGTAGACCCTTGCCATTCGCGATTTCGACAATTCAAGGTAAGCAGATGATGGCTAGCTTGCGACCCTTCCCACAGTTAACGAGTCACCCCACCCTGCAGCGTCTCCTGCTTCTGGTCGCGTTCAACCATTGCCTGTGATGCAGCCTCTCGTGTTGTACTCTCAAAACTTAAGCGTTTCTGTGTAAAATGGCCCCTAAAAGACTGCCTAGTGTGAGTGCTAGTGATGCTAGTGGAGTGAAATGTAAAAGGCAGAAGTCAGTGATGACACTGACAAAAAAGTTGAATTATTAGATAAGTTAAAAGAAGGGAGGAGTGCTGCCGCAGCTGGTTGGTTGTTTGGTATAGGCATACAGAATGCCCTTAAAATTCTCGGGGTTAGATTCTCAAAATGGGGGACATTTTACTTGTGTGCAAGAAATATATTCCCTTTATGTGTTTGCCCTTAGGACAATTATTTCTTTTACCTGTATTGTATATGTGTGTAGACCCAATATGTGTATGTAGACACATACACACACAAAACACATACAAATTTATAATAACAGGAAAATCCTCTCAAAATAATCAGAAACAAGACAAAGAAATTTAGAATAAATGTGAGTCTACCCTCAAGTCAACTACGTGCTTTGTTATTAAAGTACATGCATATATAGAATACAGATAAAAGTAATTACCGTCTCTAGAACAAATGGCTCCCTGTCCCAGCCATGAAAATTTCAGCAACTAAAAAGGACCCTTAGACATTCTTGTGTACATCCAGGGTGTCATCCGTGAATAATCGAGGGCATGCTGTGTAAGTTGTTATTCGCGGTTTTGCCTATTTGCGTCATCCCTTGAAACCTAACCCGTAAAAAAAAGGGTTTACTGTACATCAA